TTTTTTTATATCTAATTAAATAATAATTAATTAATTATTAAATTTCATCCCAATTAATAATTTAATCCCAAAATCAAACCTAATTTCATCATTAATCACGTCTCAATCTTCTCTCATCCTCGTTGCTCTCTTCTCCCACTCAGTCGCGACGGTCGTCGGCCTTCTTCCCTCCTCTCCCTTTCTTGTCTTCACCTTTCTTCTCTCTCTCTCTCTCTCTACCCTTTTTCCTCGCCGACAACTCTGGCGCTCGAAGATCCAGTCAGTGGGATAGTGTCGCTCAAAGATCCAGACAGTGGGAAGGTGTCGCTCCAAAATCCAGTCAGGTATTTCCCTAGGGTTTCACAGATCCGTTTCTCTCTCTCTCTACTCTCAGTCCCTCGCCGTTTTCTCTCTCTCTCTGGCATCAACGTGTTTCTCTACTCTCCATCGCTGTCCTCTACCTTTTCCCTCGTCGGCGACGCTGGCTCTTGAAGTGGTGGACGGTGGGATAGTGGGGCTCGAAGATCCAATCAGTGGGTGTGCGATTCTGTGGCTGGGTGTGTGGGTGTGTCGTTGCTGCCATTCCTGTGGGTGTGTGGCTGGGTGAGTGTGTGTGTGAATCGAAGTGGCGGCTGATCCGTGGGTGTGTGGTGGATCGGTGGTTGTGGTTGTTGTTGGTGGTTGCTGCTGTTCGTAGCGGATCTGTTGTTGTTTGCTGTTGTTGGTGGCGGGTCTGTTGGTGGCGGATTTGTGGTTGGTGGTTTGTGCGCGGCGGTGGTGATCGTGCGGTTTGGGTGGCGGTGATTGTGTTTCTGAAGTGATGGTCACTATTGATTTAATTGTTTGTGACCAATAATTTGATTGGTTTGTAACCAGTGAATTAGATAAAAAAAAAAATGTAACAAATAAATGCTGTGACCTAAAAATTATTAATCTGTGACCAATTGTGACCTAAATATAATTTATGTTCAATTAATATGATGTTTGTGACCATAAAATAAGTAATGTGACTTATAAATTTTGTGACTTTTAAATTTTTAATTTGTAACCGATGAACAAATTGTGACATATGAAATTTTTGAATTGTGACCAAATTGCATAGATATGTGAGCTTAATATATAAAATTCGCCGAAGTTGGGATACTTGCCGGAATCGGAGCAGTCCCCGGTACGATCGTCGAAATTGGAGCGGTCACCGGAAAGATCGTCGGAGAATAGTGGTGACCGAAAAGGTCGTTGGAATAGTCACCGGAGCTGTAGGGGTGGGTTAATTATATTATATTAGAATTAAATATTAATAATAAATTGATTTAATAATTATTATTTCATAAATAAAAATTTAAAGAAACCTGATTTTTGAAATTTGAAACTTGTTTTTGTATTTTTGAAATGGGTGAAAGTAAATACCTCATTTATGTATTTTTTGAAACATGTTTTTGTATTTTTGAAATGGGTAAAAGTAAATACCAGATTTATGTATTGTTCCCTTTTCAAAAAACAGAGAAGCAACCTTCTACCTCCCGACTCCCTTTTCTCCTGTAGCCGCACTGCCGTAGCCCCGACTCATGTCGACACCATCCAGCTTTGCGCTTGCTCTTCGATAGATTGTAACATTTAACATTTCCAAGGGAATTAATTATAGAATGAACACTTTTTCACCTCTACATATCCCTTGTTTTAAGTGCTTTCGGGAAATAATTATACTTATGGTCGTTCGAAATCAAATTGGGAAAATTTGAATTAATTGAGATTTTAGGGTTGATTATACCAATGGCCAACTATATTACAATTTTGTATTGAATGTTTAAGCACCAAAGAGCTTTTGATATGCTTTTCATGTTACTCAATTTCTTAAATTCTTCACCTTTTTAATAATAAATTGATTGTGCCAAGTTTTGGCACATAATTATTAACAAAATGCTACATTTTCATTTTACAATTATGAAGTGAGACTGTATCATGAATTTTTTTTATTATTATTATTTTGGGTTCTATCAAATTATATTTTTCATAGGTAAATATTTTTTTTAAGTTTTAATGCATTTATATATGGATTGAAGATTTTTTAAATATTTTTTAATTAAATATTAATAAACGATATCGTTATTACGGTCGTTGACTGTAAACGGTCAAAGACCTTCCTAACTAACCTTCAATCCTGGATTGGGATAGATACATTTGTCGTAAAACTCAAATTCATATTGACGACCAAATCTAAGCATCTAAACACTATCCAACAAAAAACAAATACTCAAACAAGCACTAGACATAGAATGTCCATTTCTCTCACATCTTCCATACAATGGGGTATGGGATCATGTCAAGCTTTAAGACGGTAAACCTGGAGAGTATCTTCTGTTTGGTTGTACCCCCAAAACACCACAGATCACAGCCACTAAGTTGTGACCCATGTGTTCCCCTACATTGTAGAAGCATGTGCTAACGCTCTATTGACCATCATCAAAATAAGTTCGTGGAGAGTTTGATGCGCCCACGCTGATAAACACAGCGAAAAAGAAAAATAAGTTAAATACAAAACCACGTCGATGAAATAAAATCAATCAATAATCGAACTATCAAATTGTAAGTTCCTTTACCCTCTCAAGTGCCGTAAGACATGAAGCCTTATTTGATCCTTATTTTTTCCAAAGTACATTTTTCTCTTTCTTCTTTTCAATCACACATTCAACAATACAATAATAATACACAAAGGGATGAACCGCATCCTTAGCGGCCCCCACCTGCCCTAGGCCTTGGTGATGGAGGTAATCGCAGGTTATGCCTCCAAGGGTACAGGGTGGAAGGCTGTTTGTACACTTACACTTACCCAATGGCCAAATCCATATTTCAGGATTCGAACCCAATAATATTACCTGAAAATCCAAAAAAAAAATTCTTATTTTTTAACTACAAATTCTCTATTAATCTGTTATTTCAAAATACATTTTACACAAAAAATGAGATTCAAACATACC